ACTTCCAATTCTGCCCGGCTACGAACTTCCAATTCTGCCCGGCTACGAACTTTCAATTCTGCCTGGCCACGAACTTCCAATTCTGCCTGGCTACAAACTTCCAATTCTGCCCGGCCGCAGTCTTCCAATTCTGCCTGGCTACGAACTTCCAATTCTGTCTGGCTACGAACTTCCAATTCTGCCCGGCTACGAACTTCCAATTCTGCCCGGCTACGAACTTCCCATACCGCCCGGCTACCCACCTCCACACTCTCTCTGCCACAGCGGCCGCTATTTCCAACTCCATTCGAGCTGTGAGGCCGCATCTTGTATGCCCAACTTTTTCGGGTCATGCCCAGCGAAAAAACCTTGGCCGCAACCTCAGTTTCCAGCCCCTTTTCGAACAAAACCCAGCTGCGATTTTAGAAAGCTGTTCAGCCTTGGCCGCAATCTCAGTTTCCAGCCCCTTTTCGAACAAAACCCAGCTGCGATTTCAGAAAGCTGTTCAGCCCGACCGTATTCTCCTCGTGCCAATCCAATATCCCGTGCACGGATTAGGTGGGTTTCCACCACCCCCAAACAGTATGTTATTCAAGTTGTTTTATAGCTATACTTACTATTGATCCTTCTCGCAAACGTCAATTGTCTACCATAAATATGATTATTATCTATATTTATTTTAATGTCTTAATATGTCATTTACGTGTATACCATGATTTTTATTTAATTTTCTCATTCTATCTAAAATCAACTTTTGATACTCTTTCATTATTTTTAGGTTGCTAGAATTTGGATTATACCTAAAACATTAAACTTGTAATATTAAAATTTAATCATTATAATGAATTCTTAAATATATTTTTTTATAAAATTGAAATATATTGTAATTATAAAGCTATTTAAAGTTGACACTGCTTGGATAATTATTTCACTTCTCGTTTTTCGTCTGATTATTTTTCTGGATTTTTTTGTAGCTTTGTGCGTGTCAAGTCAAGTCAAGTCAAGTCAGCTAGTACAATTGCTAAACTAAAACCTGATCTAGCTTAATTAGTCTCTGCAACCGACTGCTTTCTACAACAAAGGTCGCAAATCAATATATACATCCAATTTGGAGCTAGCCCAGATACGTTTATATGCATGTTTTGACTCGTCTGTTTTGCAGGTTGTGGATTGGAACATGAATTCACTCCCATTAGAATTTAACTCAAACAAAAAATCAACAGGAACTTTGTACGTAAAGCGTGTAAAAGGGGGCCATTGTGCTGCCACTCCCATGTGCCCTTTTCTTTCTTCAGTGTGTGAAATGCTTGAATTTTTGTCCACCGACACTGCTTGGGTAATTATTTCACTTCTCCTTTTTCATTTCGGATTATTTTATGGGTTTTGTCATGTCAGTGCTTTTCTTTGTCAAGATCAAGAAAGAGTTGGATGGCTTGAAAGTTTGAATGCTTGGACAATTCCTCTGCACTTCCCTTTTCTTTTCGTAATTTCCATTGTTTTTCCGTTCTGCTTTTAGTACGATTACTAAAACATGATATAGCTATAAGCTCTACCACTTCTTTCTAGATCTCATCTCATCCTTGAATCTATCCTCATCCTCAGGTGCAACGTAGGTCTTCATAATCATATACTCTCTCTGCAGCTTCTTTCTTGATCTGGAGGTACTGTCTCTAACTTATTCAAAAGATGGTTATTTGTGGAAATTTTTGGTCCATTTCTCATTCTCAATATATACAGCTAATTTTTGACAGGTTTACTGGTTTTGGATAGGGATATGGATTCTTCTTCTTCTTCTTCTTCTTCTCTTCCTTTTCCTGCTCCTCTTCGAGAAAAGTACGATGTGTTTCTTAGTTTCAGAGGTGAAGACACACGCGCCACTTTTACCAGCCATCTTCACAAGGCTTTACTTGGGAAGAACATTGACACCTACATAGATCGCAGGCTCGAGAGAGGAGATGAAATTGCTCCTGCCCTTCTAAAAGCAATCGAGAGATCGAAAATTGCACTTGTCATTTTCTCAAAAGACTATGCGTCTTCCACTTGGTGTTTGAAAGAACTTGTTCATATACTTGGATGCAAGAAAAGCTATGGACAGATTGTTATACCCATTTTTTATCGCATAGATCCATCAGATGTACGAAAGCAGCAGGGAACTTATGCACTTGAAGATCGTCCACGTAAGCGCAGTAGGGATGAGGTGGCCAACTGGAGGGCTGCTTTGGAGGAAGCAGCCAATATTTCTGGGTTTCATGATTCAAGCAAAACAGGGTATACTAAATCTCTAGCTTGTATCAATTTTTACTTGTTATCATTTGATTCATACTTACTCATACTATTGTTTGTCTTTCAAAATGATAATTGCCAGGACGGAGGCCGATTTTGTTGAGGAAGTTGTTCAAGATGTTTTGACCAAATTGAATAGCCAATCGTTAGGGGATTTAAAAGGTCTGGTTGGAATTCAAAGGAAAATTGAGGAAATTGAGTCGTTATTATGCTTGGATTCACCAGGTGTTTGCTGTGTAGGTATATGGGGCATGGGTGGTATTGGCAAGACCACCCTTGCTGATGCTGTATTTCACAAGCTGTCCTCTAAATTTGATGCTGCTTGTTTTCTTGCAAATGTCAGGGAGAAATCAGAAAAAACGGATGGACTACATCAGTTGCGAAATAAACTTGTTGGTGAGATATTAAAGGATAAAGATGTAAATATCGACACTCCGTCTATACCACCTTATATTCAAGATAGGCTCAGGCGTACAAAGGCGCTCATTGTTCTTGATGATGTGAATGCTCGAAAACAACTAGAATATCTTGTTGGTGATGATGATCGGTTTTGCCAAGGAAGTCGAATCATTATAACTGCTAGAGATAAAGGCCTACTTGAGCAAAAAGTTGACCCTGAAAAGATATACAATGTTGAGGGATTATGTTCTGATGAAGCTCTTAAGCTCTTTCATTCGCATGCTTTTGGAATTAAGTCTCCGACAACAGATTATATTGGGTTGTCAAAAAAGGTGATAGTTTATAGTAAGGGCAATCCATTAGCTCTTAAAGTTATGGGGTCCTCATTCCATCGTTGCAAGAGCAAACGAGAGTGGGAAGTTCAATGGAAAAAAGTGAAACGAGTTCCAATCGGAGAAATCCAGGAAGTGTTGAGAGTAAGTTACGATGGATTAGATGACAATGCGAAGGAGATATTTCTTGATATAGCATGTTTTCATAAAGGCCGTATGAGGAATGATGTAGAAAGAATGTTAGATAGTTGTGATTTCTTTGGGGAAACAGGAATCAATGATCTTATTGATAGGTCTCTCATATCAATTTCATTCAATTCCTATGACAAGGAATGTATAGAGATGCATGATTTGGTGGAAGAAATGGGTAAGGCAATTGCTCAAGGCAGTAGGTTACTCATGACAAAGGATGTCAATCAATTATTGGCAAATAACCAGGTAGTTTAATTATTCACATTTTCAATAAACAAGTCAGATTATTCCTACAAATGTAATTTTGATTAAACTTTTTTTGTATATTATATTTTACATTTATATTGTTGCTCTTGATTGTCAGAGCGATGGACATGTTCAAGCCATATCCATTGATGGTTTGCTTGAGATGGAATATGCAAACTTCGAAAAGATGCGTGAACTGAGATTGCTAAGTGTCTTTTCTTTTGAGGACCTCGCAACTTCATTAATTGGTTCTCTAGGTCTTCCAAATTCTCTCAGATATCTTGACTGGTACAGATATCCTTTGAAATCTTTGCCATCAAAATTTTCTGCTCAAAATCTTGTTGTCCTTGAAATGCCGGGCAGCCAAGTTGTGGGGCAACTTTGGAATGAAGACCAGGTATATTATATATGCTTATTTTAGTTCCTGTATAACATGTGACCGAGAAAGTAATAATCTACAAGCTAATAAGTTATTAATTCTTGTTTAATTTGTTACAGAGTCCTGTGAACTTAAAATGGATCTGTCTTAATGCATGCAAAGATCTAACTGAAGTCCCAAATCTCTCTCGGAGTCTAAAAATTGAGCATATAGAAATGAATGACTGTCAAAGTTTGGTTGAAATTCCTTCGTATTTTCAACATCTTGGCAAGCTTACTTATCTTGACCTTGGGGGCTGCACAAATCTCAAAATTCTTCCCAAGATGCCATGTAATCTTGAAGTCTTACTTTTATCTGACACAGCAATAGAGGAATTGCCTTCATCAGTTTGGTCTCACGAAAAAATATCTCGCTTAGATATTACATCTTGTGAACATCTTAAGAGTCTTCCAAGCAACACTTGTAAGCTGAAACTCTCTCTTAGTCTAGAAGGCTGCGAATCTCTTTTCGAGTTTTGGGAGCTTCCCAGGGATACAACAGAGCTAGCGTTGACTTATTCAACAATAAAAGAATTGAGGATTAATGCATCAATAGAGTATGCCGTTGGTCTCACTGCAATTAAACTGAATTATTGCGAAAGTCTTGTGAGTCTCCCAACGAACATTTGGAAGTTGAAATCTCTAAAGAGCCTTGATCTCCAGGATTGTTTTAACTTTCAAAACTTCCCAGAAATCTCAGAGGTTATGGAATATCTAGAGTTTCTAAATTTATCAGGTACAGCGGTTAAAGAGCTACCCCCATCAATTAGAAATCTAGTTGCGCTTCGAGAATTAAATCTCAAGTGCTGCGATAACCTTGAATCTTTACCAGAGCTCCCCCCATCACTGAAGGCAATTAATCTCCAGGATTGTTCTAACTTTCAAAACTTCCCAGAAATCTCGGAGGTTATGGAATATCTAGAGTTTCTAAATTTATCAGGTACAGCGGTTAAAGAGCTACCCCCATCAATTAGAAATCTAGTTGCGCTTCGGAAATTAGATCTCAAGCACTGCAAGAACCTTGAGGTTGTCCCCGATGAGCTCTTTTGCTTAACCTCATTACAAGTGTTAAATATGTGGGGGACCGAAATTAAGAGCTTACCTGCAAGCATCAAACAAGCTGCTCAGTTGTCTCGCCTGTTCCTCACCAACTGCAAGAGCCTTGAATCTTTACTAGAGCTCCCCCCATTGCTTCAACATCTTGAAGTAGTAGGTTGCACGTCACTAAAGACAGTGTCAAGTTCAAGCACTGCACTCGCACAAGGTTGGGAAAAATATAAATTTTCTCCAGGGCTTCATGAGAAACATATATTTTTGGAATGCCCAGAGTTGGATGAGAACGCACGAAGCAACATAATGGCTGATGCACAACTCAGAATTATGCGAATGGCAACTGCTTCGTCAAAGTTTAAAGAAGACAAAATTGAAAAAGCATCATATAATTCAAATAAGGTATCTCTCTCTCTCTCTCTCTCTCTCTCTCTCTCTCTCTCTCTCTCTCTTTCTCACTCCCTTCTTGTGAAAGACTCTCTTGTTTTTGACGAGTTTAATAACTATGATGTCCATATCCACGGTACAGGAATCTTCCGTTGGCATTAGATGTCATGGGAATGAAATTCCAAAATGGTTCAGCCATAAAAGTGAGGGATGTTCAATAAAGATTGAGCTTCCTCGTGATTGGTTTAGCACAGATTTCTTGGGTTTCGCTCTATCTCTTGTTGTTGTTGGTGATACAAGTTATATGCATATTGGATGCAAGTACAACTTCAAAACTAGTAATGGTGAAAGCCATGAAGTCAACCATCCTCGGTTAAATCCGGTCAGGATTGGAAGCAGCGAAGATTCACCTGAGGTGTTGGTGTGGTGGTATAGTAGTGTCTTTGAAGAAGTTGTAGAGGGAGCTCAAAGCCCCACTGCGTTTTACAAACTTGTTACTGAAGTCAATGTTCACTTCACCGTAGAGGGTTATTGGCAGCCCTATCCGAAGGCGGAAAAGTGTGGGATATGTCTGTTGTATGGCAAAGATGTTGAGATGATAAAGCAGAGGGCTTTGTAGATCAAGCAGATATCCCTAAATTCAAATTTTCATTTTATTTGAGTTGTTTGCAAGACTTGTGGCTGAGGATGCTTTTGAGTTTGTTAGGCTGAGGGATGTCTTTCTTGTTTTAACCCATCTCCATCGCCAAGCTTTTTGGCTAAGCATGCTTTTGAGTTTAGTAATTTTCTTCATTGAATTCAAGTATTAAATTGTTAATAGTGTCATTTAAGTAATTATAATAAGTCCTAACCTATACATAAGTATGATCCAAATTGTCGGATGCATTAAATGCAACTGCTGCGCTTCCACTAGATATTATGAGACTCTGGGCGTAAATGAGTAGATATTTTTGGAAACTCATATCTATAATAAGGTTAGAGTGCTGTTATTTCCACCCACCTATCTTATTTTCCCACCCACCTTATCTTCCCACCCACCATATAAATTTTAAAAAACACAATCCTATTTTTATACCCACCAATATTCCTAAAATACCCTTTTAATTATTACCTCATTTCCTCTCTCCTTTATTCTCTTTGCTCATGTCTTCTCTCTCTCTGACGGCCCACACATCTCTCTCTCTCTCATTTTCGCTATATCTTATTTTCCATCTCTCACACTCCATCTCTGTCTCTGTCTCTCATGTTGACTAAACTAAAACAGTTTTTTGCTGTAATTTTTATTTTTATTTTTGCAAATATGGATTATGTGAATATAATCACATTTATGCTCTTAGCTTTCTACTATTGTAAATAAACTTTTTCTCCAGAGTTATCCAAGGACCAAAAATCTATTGAATTTTGCAATAAAAAAAAATATAAAACGCCCATTCTTAAGACATGGGAATGTCAAAGAGTATAAAGCCAAACAGATAAGGGAAAAACAACAGTACTCACCTTCTTCACCTTCTCATGAGCAATGAGTCGTATTCTTGTGTTTTTTTTTCTCTCTATCAAACGACAGGGTTACTTGAGAACTGAGAAGTCTGCCTTTTTTTCTTTTCTTTTTTTTCCTCTTTCTTTTTTCCTTAAGTCCTTTTAAGTCATTTTACAATATGGTTAAATTTGTCTTTAAAAGTTTAAAGATAAGGTGGGTGGAAAAATAGGACAAGTGGGTGGAAATAGCAGCATTCTAAGGTTAAATACATTGGGACAAGTGGGTGTAATCGGACAGCTCAACATTCACTGGTTTTTTTTTCAGACTCTCAATCAACAACTAAGCTGCAAAACTCGTATATAGATAAATAAATAAAAAGCTGCAAAACTTGTCAAATAGTTCACATATAATTACTAGTTTGACGTTACAAATTTATCAATATTTGAATTTGTTTGATACGTGTGATTTGCAGTTTTTTTTTTCTTTGTTTCTCTATTTATGAGATTGGTGATTTACAATTTTATTTTTGTAACGATAAAGAAATAAGGCGTGGGCGTTTTCTCCTTTACCAAAATTAAAAGCATCCCACCTTACATTTGTATCCCCTTTCCTCCTCGCTTTCTTATCTTCCCCATGGATGTCGACAAACACTAATGGTCAATGGCAAAGTGATGATGGTACTTGATCATTTCAATTTTCTTAAATAATTTAAAAAATGATAAAAGAAAAATATATGGGAATCAAAGAGTGTTAACTTCTTGGTTTGAAGTATTTTTCAGCATTTATAAGTTCATTAACAATTGTATTCAGATCGTGAATTAACAAAAAAATGTAACTAGTCGCATACGTGTGCTAAAGAAAATGAACTAAATAAAAATCAATTCCGCATTTACAGTAATACAAAAATGAAAGCGCTCAGCTCCCATCAGAGAACTAGGACATTCCGAGCTCAATTTGGATTGATTATATATGTATCTTAACCAAACCAAACCAATCTCTTAGTAATTGGTTTGGTTGGTCTCTTCTAGGGATGTAAATTGGATTGGAAAATCTGATTCCGACCGATTCTGGTCCGAAACTTTTTAAAAAAATATGACTTCGATACCTCAAATATCCGAAAGTGCCGAAATCCGATATTTCCGATAAAATTCGGATCGGAATCAAAATGTATCTTTAAATTCTGATTCGAAAATTTCCGAACTACTCCCAACCCTTTCCGATCCGATTTTTCCAATTTTTTCTGAAAAATTTTAATTTTTTAATTATAATTGTTTTTTTTATAGGTCTTATATATGTTTCATTTTAGTATTCATATTCATATATTCATCTATATACAGCAAAAGACATAAAATGGCGAAACATTCAAAATACCAGAAAATGCCCTTAGTTAATTCAAACATTAAGAATTGAAATTATTAATTAAATGAGGATAATATGATAAATTCAAATTTTTATATTTAAAAATTAAAATTAAAAACAAAATCAAATAATATGTCCAATTTTTATGGAACATAACTACCTATGTTATCTTTTCTTAATTCTAAAAAAAATAAAAATAAAAATAAAAACCAATTAGCACATGCGTGAGCGTGTGCCAAGAGGCTAGTATATGCTAAGCATATGAGTATATTAATTTATGACTAGCAAAAAATATATAGTCTTGTTTTTCTCTAAAAATATATATAAATTTGTTTTCCAATAGATTAATGTCATCCTCCTTAGGATTTAAAAAAAAAACAAAGCAACACAAACAATTTGCTCAAAACTTGCTTTAAACGTGGATTGTCTTAATTGGCCTTTAATTGGACCCTAATGCATGCCACCCTACCAAAAATACTTAGATTTTCACAATCCAAAAATAAAAAAGTTTTGACACGGCATTTAATTGGTGCTTGGTTCTTGAAAAATGAAACAACTCTTTCC